CCCCGACGGGTCCAGCGCCGCCGTGAGCCCCTCCCGGCCCAGCCCGGCACGGCGGCTCCCAGAGGCCGTCTGGGGGACCAGCCAAGAAGAGACGCACGGGGCTCCCCAGGAGACCCCCTGGGTGGGGCCACCCAAGACAGGCCCCTCCACAGCCCAAAGGCAGCCGGCAGGTTTGACACTCACCCAGGGCCCCGAAGCTTGGGGTGATCACCCACAGTCGTACGGGTCCTCGCCTGCACCCAGCTGGGTCTGCGGGGCGCTGGTCAAGCTGGGCCGGAACTGGCCCCCAGGACCCAGGGGCAGCCAAGAAGGGGTGGCGATCGCATGGGGCTCCCCAGGGCGCGCCGAGGCCCTGCCGGCAGCACACAGCCCGGCGTCCAGGCCCGGCCAGCCCCACCGCCCAGGCTGCCAGGACAGCTTGGAGCGGGGCGCTGTCCAAGCCTGGTGCCAGGGCAGGCCGCAGTGAGCAGCGACCCCTGGGGACACGGCCGCGGCTGGCCGGGGCCAGGGCTGTACGGAGGGAGGGAAGCCAGGCCGGGTCCAGCACTCGCCGCCGGTCGGCCTCGCCCTCCGCACCACAGCCCAGAGCCCCGAGGAAGGGGGCTGCAGGCCGTGTGAGCAGGCGGCCCCGCACCTGCGCGGTGCGGCCCTGGGCAGCCGGCTGTCTGCCCCCCCAAGGCCCTCCACAGAGAGGGGCTGCAGCCCTGGTACCGCCCCGACCCGGGAGCGCCAGGTGTTGCATGAACTGGGGCTCAGAGCCGGCACCCCCTGCCAAGGGGAAGGCTGCCGGCGCTCTCCAGAGGCCAGAGGCCACCCAGGCGGGCCTCCCTGCACCAGAGCCCAGCCCGAGCCGGCCAGCACCCTGACCCCGAGCCCAGCGCGGCAGCCCCGAGAGTGGCTGAGCTGGCCTTGGAGCGAGCGACGTCTTAGCACTCTGTCTCTGAACCCTCTCACCCCCACCTCTGGCCTGCACCCCAGTTCTGTATGCATAAACAAATCTTTAAAAAATAATAATGCGCTCTGATCACAATTTTAAGAAAAGAAAAAACATCAATCAAGCCCCGGGCCAGGGCCAATGGCGCTCGCCCGGACGACCGGCTGCGACCCGGGGCCAGCACCCACCAGTGCCCAGCGCCGCCCACCCCAATGTCCCGCCTGGCGCGAGCACCAAGCCATCACCTCTTCCCACGTTGCTGTTTAGGGCCGGAGGCTGCAGCCAGCGGCCACTACCCAGGCAGCTCCGCTACCCGCTCTGCGCCATGGGCTGGGGTGGCCCGAGCCCAGGAGGGGCCACGCCGAGGGCCGCAGCAGCCTGAGCCGCTCGCACCCCGGGGCCTGCAACGACCCCGCCCCCGCCTCGGCTCCCCATGGCCACGCCGAACCAGCGCTGGCTGTGGGGGTAGTGGGTCCCCCACCCGGCCCAGCCAGGCCCCTGCCTGTACCAACAAGCATCCCAGGGGCTCGCAGCGCCGGAGACCAGACTCGGCCCCGCCCCGACCGCAGCCTGGCCCCGCCCACAGCCCCGCCCGGCCCGCAGCCCGGCTCCTGGTGGTGGGAGGGGCGGGGCGGTTCCAGGGGTGCGACCCCTCTCTGTGGAGGGCCTTGGCGGGTGGGGGGCAGACAGCGGGCGGCCCAGGGCCCAGAGCCGCACCCGCGCAGGTCGAGGGGCGTCGGATCACGGGCAGGCGCGCGGGTTCTTGGGCAGCAGGCAGCTGGGCCTGCAGGGCTTGGGGCGCAGCGGGGCGCAGGGCGGGTCCAGGCTGCCGCGCAACGCGTGCCACCCTCGGCTTCATCGCCCTGTGGTCAGGCTGGGCCTCCTGGCTTGCGGGCATGGGGCAGGCCAGGCCAGCAGGGCACAGGGTGCCGCCCCCGGGTGCTGGCCCCTCAGCAGCCGGTCCCAGGGGCAAGGCCTGCCCAGCCCCCACAGCTGCAGCTGGGGACCCGGCCCCTCTCCAGGGGGCTCCCAGGCTGGACAAGCAGCAGGGCGGGGAGGGGCGGGCGGGTGGGCGCGGGAGGCAGCTGAGAGGGGGTTGTCCTCCGGGGGCCCCAGGCCCCGCCCTGTCCCCAAGGACCCCAGCTGGTCCCAGCCCAGCCCCACCCGGCTCGGGCTTCCCACAGGCTCCTGCCAGCGACACCTGTTGCCATGGAGACGGGAGCAGAGCGCGGGGCCCCACCCTCCCCGCCGAGCCCCCCAGCCTGCCCGGGCCCCACCTGGCAGCGGCCCTGCCCACCGCGCCCCTAGACAAGCCCCCGGCACGAGGGCTCCTGGCCACAGTGCCCACGTGGCCCTGGCGCCCAGATGCCTGACCGTCCAGGACAGTGCCCTGGGCGGCGTCCAGCAGCCCGCCTACCCCTCACCCCCACCCCCAGGACAGCTGGCCCGAAACGCCTCCGGCAACCCAAGCCCAGTGGGCAGAACGACCCCTGCGGGCAGCCCCACAAGCTGGACAGTCTTCAGAGACCTGTGTCCACTCTGCCCTTGCCAGATCCCACATCACCAGAACCCAGCCCTGTGGGGCTGCCCGCTGGCCTGGGCCCCAGCCGGGCCGGGCAGCAGCGTGTCTGTCCTGCACAGCGGGCGCCCGGACTGGGCTCGCGGGGGCTCTCGCTGGCCTTGGGATGCCCGCGAGGGTGAGTCCCGCTGCGCCTGGTAGGCAGCCTCTGGGGACGCCGTGAGCCAGGCCGGTGCCCTGAGGCCAGCGCTGGGCTGGCCTGTGGGGTGCCCCACCGTCTGTCAGTCCTGGGGCGGTGGGTGCTGGGTGGGAGGCGTCCGCTAGCTGACCTGCCACCCCAAGCCCCGACCCTGACCCCGCCGGAGCGGCCGGAGCGGTCTCTCCGCCCAGACTCCACGCCGGACTCGAGCGGGGTTCGGGGAGCACTGGAGCCCGCGGAGGGACACGCCGGCAGGACGCCCGTCACCGTCGACTGAGCTCAGGCCAGGGTCAGTGCCGCAAGGCGTGACAGGCAGAGCGGGCGGCCGCGGGGCCCTGGCCTGCTGAACTGGCACGGACAGGCCAGGGCCACCGCCCTCCGCCGAGGGGCGTAGGACACGGCGCGCCGTACGGGACAGCAGAGCTCCGAGGCCGTGGCACTGCCCACCCAGGCCCTCGCCTGGACATGGCCGCTCACTCCCAGGGGCAGCACCAGCATCGCCCCGGGGTGGGATTCTGTCCCCCGGGGGCCACCGGCCTGGGGGCGGACGCACCCTGGGCTTCAGTGTGGGGACTGAGACCCGGGGCCGACGGGCCGGTCCCTCAGGGACGCCGGAGG